GTAGCACAAACTGCTGATATCTACCACTTCCCTACCAGACAATGGGAAGTAAGAAACCAACTATTCATTTTTCACAGGAAGTCTTATTGTACATTATTTTTCACAAATTTTGTTTGTACGCAATTGTAATGGTTTTGTCGGAAATGTTTCCAATGCTGAAGATCCCGGAGGTGGCTGCGGCAGGCAATGGACAACAGTATGCTAGTGAGCGCTTCAGTTAATTTGTAGCCAACTCCAGATTTGAACATGTTACAAACTCAGAGTATATACGATCAAACTGGGGAAGCCAGGAGTGGGGAATAGACAGTCGAGTTGCTTTTGAAGAAAAAATGATAACTTTGATAAAGCATTTCTAAATTACCTGTCCACCCCACTCCTATGTGGCTTATCATCATGAAAACTGCTGATGGGTCTATCCCATCTTACAAAGAATGGTGACTCCCACAGTCATGCCTGTAGGATTATCAAGATATACACAGGAGGGAGTCAGCCTAACACTATAATAGAAGTCTCCTTCGAAGACAGCAGACATGTTTGGGCTAGGGCAACAGATGTGGATATGTGACCTTAATAGGAATAGTGTGACTGTTCAAGAAGCTGCAGATCAGTGCTGATTGTGCATTATTTGTACAGCTGAAGGAGTTGTAGGAAGGAACTATAAGAACTTCATCCCATTACGGATCAACTATCAACTAAGATACGATTGAGTTGAATCCAATGAGGAATGTCATAATGCAAACGGATTACAGACCTCGCACCACCAAGAATAGAATCAAAATCAACAGTCTTTAATACAGAAACCTTTCAATCTTCCCAAGGCAAAAGAGAATCTATTCTGGTTGAAGAGTGAAATGTCCAAACCACCTGAACTTACAAAGTTAGAAACATTGGGAACATTGAGATAATAGTTAATGTAATTAAATGCACAAATGTATTATGTTAATAATTGGAACAAAGCCTGGGAAGAGATGCTGAATTAAGATGTAGGGGTCTGAAAGAGTTAATGCTGAGGAGTACATTAAATACCATCCAATATGATGATGTTACATGGACTCAGGTGAGGGATCAACTTTGGATCTTGAAAGAGAGACACCTAACATCATGGTCTCTGTCATAATCTCAGTAACGATGTCTATCACACTCAAGTAACTTGTACCGAGCTGCTGTTGTAGAATAAACCACATTTTCTTTAATGCAAGAGCCTCTTCTTGTTAGACTATTATACACTGCTTCAAGCAGATACTGTGGACCGCTACCAAGAAAGAGATTGATGGCAGATCTATATGGATTTTAATCTGTGATGAGCTGAGGTGAGGATTCACTTTACAGCAAAAAACAAGTTATTTGGCTTTCCTTCAGTAAATAGACACCCTGTGTAAATGATCTGACAGCATAGGACAACAGCTCAGAGAAATAAATGACAGTGTCAGTGCCAGAACACACTCCAATTTTACCCCACAGTGGATATAGAGTTCTGATGTTGCCCATCATAGCTGACCTTACCCATCACATTGTCCTGAGAAACCACATTAAGCTGCCTCACCAGGCAGCTTAAATTAACCACATTTGCTCCTGTAGTCATATGTCTTGGTGATCTTGAAGAAGGAAATGTATAGTGGCCTCCTATATTCACCACATTTCTCTTGCAGTTTTCAGACTGAAGATAATTTCAATAATTGATCTTCTAGTTTTGGCACTATGCTAGGATTCGAGATAGAATTATTCAGCAAAATCTATGGCCTAACAAAGCAACAAGGATAAAATCTTTCCTCATGCTGCAGAGCAAGCAGATGGCTCAGTAGCTGTTGTCATTGTTCTGGTTGCTGATATTCTTGTTAAGTCACAATCTTTGTATCACACACATCCTGGGCCAATGTGTCTCCCTATTGCAGAGATAAGAGAGTTTTTTGCAGATGCTGCATGGAATGCCTGTTTCCTGTGCTTGACGTGTTCATGGGGTCTGGCATTGGCATCTACAGCTTTGCCCATCGCAAATCAATAGATTTGCTAAGCTCTTCCACTGTCGCTTCAATTGCTAGCCACAACAAGTAGGATTTCCATGGTGTCCAAAGCTTCCTCAGTGACAATGCTGTCCCTCAAGTACAGTTCAAGGTAATGTTCTACATAGCCATTCAACTGTTTGTTGCATTCAGTGATTGTCTCCTGTCTTTCAATGCAGCGACTTGGTGACGTACCTTATGCCCATTTACTCATTCTGATCTTTCTCATTAAGCAGTTAACTAATGTTAGGGATAGCCTGTAGCACTAATTCCAAACACCAGTTGAGTTGCGCATGTCACTCGTAATTTTTGTCTCCCATGTTGAGTTAATATTCCACAGCAAAAACTAAGTAGGATGCAAGCCTGGGCTAATTTAAAGAGATTATGAGATGCCTTTACATCAGAGATCCCCCTCAACTTTCCTGGCTGAATCTAGGCAATTGGCAATGACAGGTATTCGGCAACAACTTGGTAACAAACAATGCCAGTAAAATAAGTTCATCTTTGGGCACTGCACCAGATCTTTTTAAAATCAGCATTCATTCACTGAGCTCTCAACTCTCCAGAGGTACTTACGAGAGAGCAGACCTAATTGCTTATAGTTGGGAGTGTGGTTCACGAGTGCCAGAGTGCATCTGCATGCTAGTGGGCCTGGACAGTGCATGTCCGAGGGTAAAACCTCCTCTGACATTTTATCTTGGGGCTATCCTGTCCACTTCACATATGCCTCCACAAGAGGAGAAAGCTGAAGAGTTGCCAATAACCAGACTGCATGCACTTACAGGATCTGACTTCAAATTTGGCTCTCTTTTTCACATTGTTGCTAGCCAGCTGTATGGGTTGAAAATGAGAAGCAAATGATCACATCAGAGCAAATTCATTCTATCCACAAGTTTGATACATCACATTGATCTACTAAGTCTCTTCTAATCATTTTAATTCCACCATTATCTGTGCCACAACAGTAAAAATTAAATTGTAATGATACTGCAACAGGTATAAGGCTTCCACATAAGGTTTGAAATTAAACAGACACTAGAAACAGACAAGGCTATTCAAGATATAAACCTGTTGTAGCCTCTTAACAGGAACACTTTACTATTATATGTGCCTTTACTGGAGACATACACACCATGACACTTAATGGAAGCATCATCTAAATGGAATGCCAAGTCATGAGGTGATATTATATACTTTGTTGCAACATAATCATTAATTTACATTCGAAAAAGGATATCTCACACCCTACCTAACCAAGAAGAACTGACGGAAGTGATGGGTATAAAACAAAGACAATTCTGAAGCATTGACTATTTAAGAAGTATTTGAAGACACGGAGAAGAGTAACAAGTTGATGGATTTTGGAGGAGACCATCAGGAACAAGGGGCTCGGGAGCTTATATTGACAAATTAGTAAACGTTAGTAATGCCGTCCACATTTGAATGAATAATCGTGAGAAACAATAAAGGAAAAATATATATTTCATCTATTTAAATGTATGCTGTTAATAACAGCAGCGGATTACATCAAAAGCCTTTTTGGCAGAAGCAGCCCAGCTGCGCACTTCACCTATTTGGTTTTGTTCTAGTCTCCAAGGATCTCTGGAATTGGTACAGTTATTGCTTTTAGATCACATTCTTATTGACTAGTGTCAGCATGGCCATTCATCTTGAGTACAGATGTCATGACTGCAATGCTATCTTGTGACATATTGTGAACATTTTCTTCAAGAAATATCTCTTTAAGGCAGGGTGCAAGAGGTTAAACTACTAGACAGAAACCAAAATACAACTGATTGTGCCATTATATTTCCTTTGTAAGAAATACTTCTACAACTGGAAATTGTAAACCACTGCAATAATTAATTTTCTAAAAGTATACAATAAACAAAGATTAATTCTGAACCAATTTTGCAAATCAGATCTGCTTTTAAAATGCTTCAAACAGTGCACCATACTATATAATAGTTTGATAAATGGAATTCAAAATATTCTCCTCTTATAATTGTTTATGGATAATGACTGAAGTTATTTTGCGACAGAACAGGAAGAGAACACCACATACCCATAAGTATTCTGCACGAGCACCTTGCAGTTTTCATTTAGTTACTTCTACAAGGTAATCAATGCTTGTTAATTAGTTTTCATTGCAGTTAAAAATGACTAATTGCACAATCAAGTTAAATAAATCTGTTTCTATAGGAGGAACAATCAAGGTTATAGCTCATTAAGTTATATTTCTAGTCCAGTGATCAGTAAAATACAGACTGGGATTTAGGAAAAGGTTTTCGGGGGCAAAAAGATATTTGGGGACAGAGGGCAAACCAAAGAAAATACACTTTCTTGATTTTCAAAATTACTGCAAGAATAGAGTTAGTTAACTTAAAAACTAGGAAGACATTCCGTACTTGTACGCTTTCTCACAAAGCCTATTTGACTTCATTTTCTATTGGAGGGATTTTTTTTCTCCACCAAACATGCTAATCTTTGGCCTCACCCTGTTTCACAATATTTAATTTCTCTGTTGTGTCACAAAAGTAATAGTTTATTATTTCAATTTCCTCGTTCAAACATTAATTTATTTTTCCCCAAAAGGAAGCAGTATGTGTTTAGGTGTGTGCAACCCAGATTTCAGTCTTTGTTGTATTAAATTGTATCTGGAGATTTCTGTAAATAGGGGTGAATCAAAATTGAAAGGGACCAAACTGTTTCTAAACATGTGAAAAGATGGTTAAGAAAATACAACTCTCAATCAGACCTGTTTTACCTGCTTTGTTGTTGAATACAAAGAAAGGTGACACGGCAAACCAAAAGTAAATTCAAACACCTTTGTCTGGTGATGATGATGTGGAACTATTCAGCACTTGTTTACATTTCAAAATAGTTTATTTGACGTACAGCATGTGTTGTAGCAGAGCTTAAGTGGTCTTACAAATATAGGGCTAATTTTATTATGTATTTATGGCCAATAAGGAGAAGCTAATTCGCTATAAAACTAACCGTGTTCAATTGCTGCTTTAAGTGCTGCTTCAGGATGTGTTGATCCAAATAAGTTGCGAATGAATCGTTGGCGGCGCCGCAAGTCATCTTCCCAGTAGTCAAGGCGCCAGAACTCACGAGGGCGACTGCAATGAAACAGAGGCAGCACATATGTTAGCAATTATCAAACAGCATGGTAGCACGTAGTGCTGAATAAAGATCTCCTTGTTTGGTTGATCATTTTAGCAGTCTGCAATTTTCAAGTTAGGTTTGTCCTTGAAAATAACAACATCACCTTCCAGACTAAGAAACCCTTTTCCCTTTTCTTCTTGGAAGGTGAAACGAGCACTAAATACATCATTTTGAAATGAATTGCTGACAGTGTGATCAGTTTCCCCACACTGTAGTGGCATGTGCTCTGATTTCAGCCTCATTTCAGCCTCAGCAGGACACCTTTAGCTGTGACTGCATTTATAAACCAGAATAGGGAAAAGGCCATTATAAATATGGTATAGCATTACCTATATTAATCAAAGTCTACCCTTTCATCATTTTTCTTCCCAATTTGTGTGTTTTCACACAAGGTCAGTAAATCATACCATATATTCTCAGTCCAAAAAGTGTTAACTTTAATGAACAGTACTGTAACGTGCTTACATGAGAGATAATAAAATATTACTCTATTTAGACGTGCAGAAATTTAATTAAAATAATCTCTTAAAATATTCATTACATTTAGCCCCTGAGGCATTGCGTAATACAAGAAAACACATTTCCTTTCTTTTATGGATATTTCTAAGATCCATTCTTACATGAAGACAAGGTAATATTTTAAAACATATGGCATTTGTTTTTTTTCTCTCATTATATTTTAGGAGGCAAAATGTCAAGCACACCTAATTTTATTCAACAAAATACAATAAAAAGGTAACACGAATCTTTTTATCTGTTCATGTCACATTGAAAGAACGTTCTACTACATAACCTGAAGAGCTCCTTATTCCATTTACAGCTTTTTTTAAAGCTTCCAAAAAGCAACATGGGAATTTTAAAACATTTTATATACAAATGTCTTTCTATTCAGCATCTCATTACAACATAGTTTCTTCCTTCATTCCAACTTAATGGAATTTTTGTACACAAGACCATCATTTCTATGTACAGAAAACAGATAACATTGCAATACAGATGAAAAAATAGCAGTACCAAAGCAGTATTTCAACCACCAAGCTTCAGACATTATCTGTAGCAGGATACACAAATACACAATAGAAGGAGAAGAATTATTTCTAATATACTACATGAGGCACCTCTGGTGTAAAACAATTCATGCAGCAGATACAATCTAAACAAGTGCAGGTATTCAGCAAGAAGTAGATAATTCTGTGTCAGTAGTCTGCATTTCCCAGCAGTAGGTGAATTTATGTTGACAGCCTCATCAATGTAATTATATCATTAAATCACATGGTGCAGCTAATTTACTAATATGTGCTTAATCCCATAATAAAGACTCTTGCACATTACCATCAGATATAAGCGAATGTACCAGTTTTTATAATCAAAAATGTGTGCCCTTTATCCTCTCTCTATTGATGCAATCTAGACAATATTTAAGTTAAAAAAAAGACAAATATGGCACCAAAAATTGACTGTAATCTTAAATACCTCCATTTACTTTATTATTTAAAACTGCTCCCCCTAAAAATGTGAAAACCAGTCTATTACTTGATTTTAGTCACATACGACAGACCGTTATGTGTTTGGCTGCGATAGCTGCAGTGCTCAAACAGGCACTTCATCATCCTGGCTTCCAACATTCATCTATTAAAATTATTATCAAATATCTACTGAGATCCAGGCGTGAATCATAGACTGCACCCAGTCTTCTGGGGAAAGATACAATGAAGGTCTATTCATCAGTGTGGCAATCGGCAGAAGTAATTAGTTCTCAAGACCTGGGTTTCTTACAAAGCTTATTTCACACTCTGCCACAAACAACATATGATAGTGAAAAGCTAATGAAAGCCTGTAAAAATGTGTTAACCTCTCCAGCTATCAATCGTTCTGTTACTTTGTACTAAATATTTTTCATCCAATAAATTATTAATTTCTCATCCAACCCTGACAGTTTTTGACAGAATTATGTGATGCCATTCTTCAAGATAACAACAATTAAAATCACAAAAGGAATCTGCAGTGTTCATTTATATAGTATTTGTATAATCAGTTCTCCCTCAACAAGATGCCCCATTCAAGAGTACTCTTGACAGAAAGCTCATGTTGTTCATTTGCTTCTTCATAACGTGATCCTCGTACTTTCTGAATAATTGAAAATTTCATAGTGTTCTACTGAAACAGACCCCAAATTGCTAGTTTTTATTTCATCACAAAAAAATAAGTCATAAATATTAGCCTCTGCTTGAAAGTCAATGATGAAATGAGGTTTATTATGTTCACTGCCTGAGCCTTTTGTGTAGGACTCGGCTTTATAAATATATGTAATTTACCTCTGATTGATAGCAGTCATTAACTAGATATCAACTCCTGATTCAATATGCTACACTGCAGTATCTCCCAGAAACCAGTGCTGGTTTGGTCACACTGGAATTTTAAGATTTTACAAGAATACTACCCTAAAAACAAATCAATAAATTATTGTCCAAAACTGAAAACCATGCATTTTATGTTCAATATTTTGATGTATTTGTAATTGTTTTGTGATGGGTCATCTATTCATGAACATATTGAAATATGTGAAAAAGCTACCAGTGAATCTACATAAATGTAGAAAATCCTGAAATTTGAATACAAAGAAATCAGACAAGCTGTCATGCAAATATTTATACAAATAAGCAATTTACACGTATCACTGATTTTCACAGTGAAATTATGTTTTAGTTGCTGGAATCTCAAATTTTAACATAAATAACCTTCAACATGGCTCAATTAAAATTAATTTACTAATAAAATGAACCACTTTCCAAAATGAACAAATAACAATTGTCTGTTAAAGTCTCAGTTTGGCTGAGTTGTACATAATCATGCCTCCGACCTGGAAGGTTGTGTTCTCAAACTTCACTCCATAACTTGAGCTGACTCTTGAATGAAGCATTGAAATGCCCACCTTTTCTGATGGCCATAAAAGATCCCAAGGGCTAAAAGCACGGATAAATTCCTCTTTCAAAAACCAACGCTAAAGCATGGTGAGAAAACTGGTCACGTACATTATTCTTGGGTATTACTACAGATATGACAGCATCTTTCTTTACCAGCATTACAACTGCTACTTCCCAAAGTACGAACACTTTCAGACATTTCTGAGGCACGACTAAAAGATGAAAGTGTAATTTTTGAATAAATCTTTCGCACATCAGTCTCTCAGTTACATTATTACATGACCTCAAAATCCTTAAAGAGAGGTAGCAAAAAGCAAAAGGAAAGAAAAGGTAACAGAACATGCACTTGTATAGCACCTTTCATCTCCTTGAGGCATCCCACAACAATTTCGTCATTGAATTACTTATGATGTGCAGGTACTGCTGTAATATATGCTAACACATCAGGGTATCTGTTCTCATACCTGAAACAGAACAAGACTAGTTTACTGTCAAGGAACGGAAAAATCCCCTGCTGTTCTTCAATTATCGGAAGGAATCTTTTAAGTCTGCCTTCATCTCCCTCACCTGAAAGATACCACCTACAATAACTTAACACTCAGAACTGCACTCAAACCTGTGCCTAAATTACATGCTCACATTACATGGCTTAGAATCATAGAATCCCTACAGTGTGGAAACAGGCCCTTCGGGCCAACAAGTCCACACTGACCTTTGGAGCACCCACCCAGACCCATCCCCCTATAACCCACCTAATCTACACATCCCTGAACACTACGGGCAATTTAGCATGGCCAATCCACCTAGCCTGTACATCTTTGGACTGTGGGAGGAAACCGGAGTACCCGAATCAATAACCTTCTGATTCAAAAATAATGCCACTGAAGGGAGGCACATATTTCTATAACAAATAAAATTACATGCCTTTTTTAAATTACTCATGTCAAGTGTCCAAATCACAGCAGTATAGGCACAAACTATTTTTAGCTATTTCTTAGCTTGGTGAGAAGGTAGTATTCAAAATTGATGAAATGGAGAATACACTTTACCGACAATTTAATACTCATGCACAAATTAAGACAAACAAATGATCGTAGCCACAGAAATAAATTTTTATGTTATATTTCCAGAAGCACTAAATTATAAAAAATGCAAGTTATCTTAACATTACAGCACAATTTAAGTCTCCAGCAAAGTTAACTATATCACAAGAGTTTTGGGTGTGAATATAAGCATATCTAATGCACAATGACTATCATTACAACTATTGATATTAAGGCCCTCACAATCACTTATTTCAAATTTATGCGCCTGCTTCATGGCTTGTAAATGTTACCATGATCAAAAATAACTATGGAAGAAAATTCTTGATAGTTAACTATGCAAATACTTTACAATTGTTCGCTGAAGTTAAACACAAAAATATTTTTTAAAACTTCTAAAATAGGGGACTGCCCTATACTCTCAAGTTTTCCAATATAAACAATTCCCAAATTTAACTGTACCACTCATGCAGATGTTATTTTCATATTCTGTAGCTTTTATCTCTCTCGTGAGATGTATTTGTCATAATTATTTTTAAAGCGCAAGCAGAAAATAATGGAACCTGTCAGGTCAGTTAGTATTTAGGGAGCGAACATTTGAAGTATAAAAATCTTCATTTTGATTTTTTAAAAATCTTGCCTTTAAATCATTCATTGCTACAGAAAACAAAAACAGAACATTTCAAAACAAAATAAACCATTTCAGTGATAGTAGGAACTGCCGATGCTGGAGAATCTGAGACAACAAGGTGTAGAGCTGGATGAACACAGCAGGCCAAGCAGCATCAGAGGAGCAGGAAAGCTGACGTTTCGGGTCTAGACCCTTCTTCAGAAATG